CATTACTCTATTGATTCAAACAAATGACAGCAGCAGGGAATGTATGGCATTGAATTTATTCTGCTGTTACTACTGAGTCTACAGAAAAGAAGATAATCTGCAAGGAAGTTTCATACATATATTTATATATATTTGAATTTTAAGGTTATTTTGCTATTATTTACCTCTACATGTCAGAGTGGCTTTTAATAGATGTAATTAAATGCTGAAAATCCACCCTGATCATTTCTTTCAGTTCTTCAAGGATAGAAACGTCAGCCAGAGATAGATAGTAAATGAGTTGAGTATATGAAAAAAGGTGCAAAAATTTTTAACCTTAAAAAAAAGTATGTAATTGTTCCTTCTGCTTTACATTGTACAATTAAATTTTAATTTTAAAATGTCAAAGTATTTTTACTTATTTTTTGAAATCAGTAAAATCATAAAAGCATAGAATGGTTTGGGTTGGAAGAGACCTCAAACATCATCTAGTTCCAACCCGCCTGCTATGGGCAGGGACACCATCCACTAGACCAGGTTGCTCAAAGCCCCATCCAGCCTGGCCTTGAACACGTCAAGGGAGGAGGCACCCACAGCTTCTCTGGGCAACCTGTGCCAGTGCTTTACCTCACAGTAAAGAATTCCTGAGATCTAATCTAAATGTGCCCTCTTTCAGTTTAAAGCCATTACCCCTTGTCCTATCACTACACACACTTGTAAAAAGTCCCTCTCCAGCTTTCATTTTCGCCCAGCCCAGGGACTGCCCTGGCCCAGGTGCAGGACCTTGTGCTTGGCCTTGTTGAACTTCATGAAGTTGGCACAGGCCCACCTCTCCAGCCTGTCAAATTCCTTCTGGATGGCCTCCCTTCCCTCCAGAGTGTCAACCACAGCACACAGCTTGGTGTTGTCGGCAAACTTGCTGAGGGTGCACTCAGTCCCACTGTCCATGTTGCCAACAAAGATGTTTATCAGCACCGGTCCCAATACCGACCCCTGAGAAATGCCACTCACCACTGATCTCCACTTGGAGATCGAGCCGTTCTTTGGATGCGACCATCCAGCCAACTCCTTATCTACAGAATGGTCGTCCATCCATCAAATCCATGCCTCTCTGATTTAGAGACAAGGATGTAATACAGGACAATGACAAATGCTTTGAACAAGTCCAGGTAGATGATGTCAGTTGCTCTTCCCTTACCTGCCAATGCTGTAACCGCATCGTAAAAGGCCATCAAATTTCTTAGTCATGATTTACCCTTAGTGAAGCCATGTTTGCTGTCACCAATGTCCTCCTTATTTTCCATATGCCTTAACATAGCTTCCAGGAGGATCTGCTCTATGATCTTGCTGGGCACAGAGGTGAGACTGACTCGCCGGTAGTTCCCCAGGTTTTCCTTTTTTCCCTTTTTAAAAATGGGTGTTATGCTTCCCCTTTTCCAGTCAGCTGGAACTTCACTGAACTGCCATGACTTCTCAAATTTAATGGATAGCAGCTTAGCAACTTCATCTGCTAGTTCCCTCAGGAGCTGCAGATGTATCTCATTAGGTCCCATAGACCTGTGCACCTTCAGGTTCCTTAGATGGTCTCAAACCTGATCTTCTCCTACAATGAAATGAAAATAACGACTTAAAAGATATTTTTAAACAAGAGTTTTTCTCTTTTGTTTTCCACAGTAGAAACATCTGGGTTTTCTGACCAGTCTTGTAACATTTGCTCATTGTCTAGGTTTCTGCAGCCTAGATTGCATGACCAGTTTTCCTGTTTCTCACTTGCTGTGAGTGAGCCTAAGTGGAGCGCATTCCTCCACACTGTCTCAAGCAGTATCTGACAACTTAAAACTTTCTGAAATGCAGTCATTCTATTTGCTGGTTTATACTTCCTAATGTCCAGGAAAAATAAAATGCACTAGTGGAATGTAAAAAAATGCCACACTTTAATGGCATCTTCCACCTGAAAAAATATTCTAGCTTGCATCTTTATATGTGTTTTCCATTCTTATTTTTAGCTTGCGTTCAATTTTGATGGTTATTTCGACAATGTGTTTAGGCCAAATACAGCAAGGTTTTCTTCATGTATTCTTTAATTTTTCCACCGAAGCAATAAAACTGAAAGAGTAGAGTAAGACACAGTACAGAAGTAGGTGCTGGCAAGATCTCCCCATTACTATGCAATGGTCTGGAGCCTCATTACTTGGCTTTCTTTTATTTTAATTTACTCACCACAAATATGCAGATAAAGTACTGGCTGTTTAGCAGTGCTACCACATTTGATTGGAGTTATCTACAAATCCCTTTGTGGGTGGGCTTGCTCTTTGCACACTTCTCTCTCTTCCTTTTTCTTTTATAATGAAGATTTTGTGCTCTGACACAAAACCACCCACTGATACAGAACAGCCTGCTGTCAAGTGTCAAACAAGAGCATGACAAGAGGGTGGGGGAGAATGTTAGTAAAGATGATAGCCAGAGTCACTAGCCCCATTTCCTCATTAAAGATAGAAGATGAAAGCACAGCTACAGATCTGCAGGAAAGCAAAGGCCGTCTCCAGCTGATTTCAGGAGAGACCTGGGTGCTGTGTAAGACTGAAATGGATAGTGGCAGCTGTACCTTGTATCAGGAACAAGGACTAAGTGTTTAATGTGCTGGTTATTAACATTTAAAAATTGTGTTGCTGTTTTATGAATAGCAATTACCAGACTCAGGAACCTTGGCTGCTGAGACAAGGACAAAGCTATGTTGTTTCTCTCTTACATAATGTACCATCCAGCACTCCTGGTGTAGTGGAGCATTTAGCAGACACTCTTTTGCTGCTGATTCAAGACATGCATCATGTACTCCAGTGCTTGGCCACTTGTGTGAAGTGGAAGGAGGGAGAAGTAGGAGACCACCTTGTTCCTGCACCACCACAATGCACACCTCTATCTGGGTAGCAAGCCTGCAGCGTAACGTAACCTACTTATGTGAGCTTGTGAATGTAAAGGCCAAATTTATGAACCAAGATGGTTGCCATTTATTCAGATTTTTCACTTTCAAGCATCAAAAAACCTTTCAGAATTAGAGGTGGACACATGGAAATTTTTTCTGTGTGTGGCTGAGAGAGCAGAGTTCTTCTCCTAGATTGTAGAGAGCAAAGCAGTTGGCAATATTTGTGTAAATAACCTGCCTCTTTTTTGCCCAAGCCCTCCAGGAGACAGCAGTCAGTGGAAGTAACTAATATTTGCTTAGATTTTTAAAAAACTGGAAATCTGTGTCTATCTACCTGTTGAAGTGTGTCCAGAGGAGGGCCACGAAAATGACCAGAGGGCTGGAGCACCTCTCCTGTGAAGACAGGCTGAGAGAGTTGGGGTTGTTCAACCTGGAGAAGAGGCGGCTCCTAGGGGACCTTATAGCGGCCTTCCAATACCTGAAATGGGCCTATAAGAAGGCAGGGGAAGAACTGTTCACAAGGGTTTGTAGCAATAGGACGAGGGGTAATGGTTTTAAGCTAGAAAAGGGTAGATTTAGGTTGGACATTAGGAAAAAGTTCTTTAATATGAGGGTGGTGGATCACAGGAACAGATTGCTCAGAGAGGTAGTGGAAGCCCCATCCCTGGAGACATTCAAGGTCAGGCTTGATGGGGCTGTGAGCAACCTGACCTAGTTAGAGACGTCCCTGCTTATTGTAGGGGGGTTGGACTAGATGGCCTTTAGAGGTCCCTTCCAACCCAATACATTCTATGATTTTATGAGCTTTTTAACGTTTCAGCAAGAAGATCAAATCACATGACTATATTCCGTAATTCCACTCTGTTCTGTAATTGCTATTTACTTACGGATGCAAGTTACTGAGAAGCATAACGAGAACCATAGCTCTCCAATTTGTTTCACTTTAAACAAGCAAGTCAAAAAAAAAAAAGAGCCAAAGCAATAGCCCTGTGTGATTCTGTCATTTTTCTGTATGATTCAATACAGTTCAAGTCTCTGCATGTTAGAGTTCATTGAAAACACAATTAACTGTCATAAGCTTTAAATCAGATGATAAAACAAGAGAAAATCTATACATTCCATAGTTTTGAATCAGAAAGAAGGATTTTCTACACCAAGAAATAGTGGGAAAGTCAGCATATCAGGTTCAATGGTTTGGGATGTCGTTCCCCTTATTTACCTTGCCAAGGCTTTTGCACTTCCTCTCCCTGATATCTGGCAAAGCAACTGAGAGTTTTACTGTGGCATGGACTTCTTTTTCCTTTCTAGTGTCTCCTCTGAAGGAGATGGAAATGATGGGAGAGTACTGTCATAAAATTCAATATTTAGGTGAAATTGCCTTCTCTTGGTTTGTCTTCTCTTCAGTGCATTCAGGCCCTATGTACACAGTCCTAGTGAGAATGCAAGTTGGGGAGGGAGAAATGAGAAGACAGACACAGAATTATTTGGTGTATGTGGCTGAATGGTGCAAAGAAAATGGGAGAAAATGCTTTCCTTGAATTGTAATTAATCCCAGATGTTGTTCAGAATTAGCTGCATTTGCATGAGAAAGTGTAACCATGTCTTGCTTTCTTTTTGCATAGCAAAGGTTTTTCGAATTTGTTTTCAGTTGTTAAGCAAATACTTTAGAGACTATAATATGTCCAGATACAGTGGTATAATTGCACTGTGGTTCTACAAAAGTGGAGTTAAACAAAGATAAAAACAGTCTTGAAATGAATTGAATATGTTTTTCTGATTCTGGTATGGAAAATGGAAAGAATAACAAATTATTGCACAAATTTTCTCCTTTCTGCTGTGCCACACCACTAGAATATAAACATATAAATGGTATTGATAGGTAAAGTCAAGGCACTTTCTGTCTGTTAAAGAAGACGTTCATATAGAATAAACCAATTAAAAAACCAATGACTGGTATAGTTAATAATAGGCTTGTAAGTTACATTAATAATACAATTAATAATTAATAATAACATGAATAATTAATTAACATTATTTCAACTCTGACAAAAATAACCTTTACTGGATAAAAACGTTGAACTAATTATGTGTTTTGTAGGTCACTTCTCAAGAATCTGGAACCAAACCATTGACCTTCACGTTTGTACCATCCATTGGACGACTTCCAACTCATTTTGAGGTTGTGGATGTCTCTAAGTTCCTTGTGACAATCCCAGAGGAACCAAAGCATCTGAGCAATCAAGAACTTATAAATAAGGTAGATTTTTGTCTGCACTAATTTTTCTGCTCTTTCAAATGATAGAGAAAATTTTATCCTGGGCACCACTGAACTGAAGCTCT